ATGTGAGGTAAAGAAAACCTCAGTCACCGAACCTGCTCAGTTTGTACGACTCAGGCATGAAATAATCGCAACGTAGATTGATATAAAGAGTAGGCTTTGAACCAAAGGCACCATGCAGATTTGTGATTGATTAATACATCGCATGCCTTAAACGCAGATGCATAAAGACGGGTTTCGATGTCCGCTTTCTGCCACATTTAAGAAGACAGTAATAATTCATCATAATGATACGGACTGATTATGCGACCAGCGTGGCTCTTGAATCAAATCGAACAACCAAAGTACTTTTATCTCATCTCATTCCTTCGGCAGTGTCTGGTAACTTCTGAGAGAAAGACCTTTAACTTCAGTTATCAGTACAAAGATAAGTAAAAGTTTAAGAGTCAAAGGTAAAATAAAAATAAAGTTCAAAATTGTAACCATACCTTGGGTGGGATCAGGGGTTTTCTCAGAGAGTCTGATTTACTTTTAGATAGTTCGGATTTGTTGGACTTTCGCAAAGAATGGATCAGTCTATCTTCCGCTTCCGCTTCGGCTTCCATTTGCGCTTCGAGTAATTCCCAGAGTAAATCGCTTTTATCAGCATCCTGCGTTGATTTTTCATTGCCATTTTCATGAAGCTTGGAGTCCACAGACCGAAATCCATAGACTATTTCGTCGTCAGTATTCACCTCCTCCCCCTCAATACTGTCGCCATTAACACCAAGCAAGTTATGATGGCCCGGTCTCCTCGAAGGACTTGGCGGATTAAGGTAGGGAATGAATTCGGGGCACTCCGAGAGAAGCATTTTATTGGGTGATTCATCAGCATCGTATTCCTCTACGACACAAGTATCTCCAGTCGCTTTGCTAACCTGATCAAAGTTTGAAGGTACAGACTTGGAGTACAATGCCAGACAATGGTTGTCTTCCTCGCTGTCATAATCCTCTTCCTGGGCATCTTGCGCCAGTGACCCAGAACTGTGGGAGTCGGCTCTGGAGGCCAGGTGGTCAGGGTTTGTGACACTCCTTGGAGTAAAATTCACGGCTCTTCTCGGACTCCCAGCAGACTTTTGCTCTGAGACAATATTGGGCCCAGAGTGGGAGCGGATGAGAGAGCCATTAGTCTTGATACCTCCTTGCACAGGTGTCTGCAAGCTCAACAATTCACCACGGAAGGCGTTTCTCTTCTCAAAAGAGCCACCAAAATGCAGTAAATCCGGCGAGGCCATCGTATGGCCTGCAATTCATCGCGGGCAGGCAGGGGATGTCGACTTGTCGAGACAGGTTTGAATGAAAATACGGACGACCAGCTGTTGCGCCTCTTAATTCAGTCCGCTGACTAAGACGCATCTGACTTAACCAATCAGTTGCCTACGCTATGGGACAGCCAATCAGAGAGCACTATGTCATCGCTCTGTCTACCAATGAACAGGAAGCAGTGGAATGAGAGGGCGTTGACCGGCCACGTGCTGGCATTGCAGCTACTGCCATTTAAGAGGCCGCGCGGCTTAGCGCTTTCGGCCACC